GACATCGTCCCAACTGATTGCGACGATATCAACTATACTACGTCTCGGCTTCTTTTTCGTGTAGAGCCTTGAGCCATCGCAGTCATCGCCACGCCCAGCTATGCACACCCCTTTTAGTAGTCAGATATGGACTGTACGCCGTGTTAACCAGCAAAACTTATCATTGGTAGCAGAAGTGTAGGGTCAGTCGTCTGCTGATTGAGTACATCTTTCTCTTCCGTTTTGTAGGTTTCCACGCTCACTACAGAATGGAGGAACCTTCCGTTCCCTTACACTCACATTAAAACGACCAAACAGGACAACTCGTCCGTCGAGCGCGGCGTCGCTCGCCACGCCTAGCAGTGCGTCATATTACACTTATCTTGTCATATACCTCTATTTTCCTGGAATCGCACTCAAAAAGCATTCCTTCCAATACTAAAAAATTAAAAACAGTTCATGTGTGCGAAGGTTGTTATCACGTGCACAGATTGCCGCGCTTAGAAAAAACAAAATTCATGGAATAATGTCTAGAAATAAATCTATTCGGGGAATGAGCGTTGCCCAAGCGCTCCAACCAGCCTGTCGTTGACACTCAATGATGTGAGATGATGTCGTGGTGATGAAAAAAATCAAGGTGAAGAACGATGAAGTGGTAGTATCGTCATGGTTATCGTCTGCTGTTTACTTGCCAAAACGGAGGAAGTTTGGTTTACGTCCGAAACGCAAGAAATTCGGGTCAGCACCTCGTTTACCGAATCGCAAGAAGTTTGGATCACCACTGGCTCGTCCTGAAAATCAGCGTCATTCAAGAGAATGGTGAGAGCAGGAAAGCGCCAGTTACGGGTAACTCACCAAAGCGAAGGAAATTAGGATCACCGGCGGCTTTGCCGAATCTCAGGAAATTCGGTTGGTTTCGGCCGAATCGGAGGAAATTTGGATCGGAACCTTTCTTTCCAAACGACACACCTAAATGGGAAATTTCTAGCAGTATTAGCAGAGGTTTTTTCCGAGCGCAAATACGTACTTCTGCCGAATCGCATGAAGTTAGGTTTTCGTTTCTCCATAGTCTTGAGCGCTTCGTCAGCATCACCACTGCATGTTTCTCCTGAAAAGGGAACCATTTAACCTTCAGAACCTTTATCAACGGCTGTGAACTGTGAGATATAGACCAGCAGGTTCTGCTGGCAGCGCTGTGACGAGAACAGCGCAGTTGTTGCTAAATCTGTGATGCAGGTGCCCTGAGACTAGATCAAAGAGGTCGCAATTCTCCTCGCAAAGACAGCTGGTGGCCAAAAATTACAGTCGTTGTCACCGCAGTTAGCCGGGGAGTGTCAACGGGGAGTGGGTTTTGGCGAGGCGCGAGCTCGTTTTTCATCGATCATTGCGGCTTCGGGCGTTCAAGGAATGGTCAGGAAATGGTCGCCTCATTCCACCCCCCCCCCATGACGCAATCCCGACGTGATTCAGTGAGAAGATTACTGGACTAGGTACACGGCCAGAGTACATTGCCCTTGAATCAGCAGATAAATAGTAGAGTATGATTTGACGCAAAGTGTCGTGCTCATTAAGGATGTAGGCCGACTAGATTATAATGAATGACGCGCAGCGACGAGTTGTATTTGCCGACTGTGTCACCGCACTGCTCGTATCCTTGTTTAGGCATATTATTCACATGATGAGTATTCAATCGGACGCGTTTATTGTTTTCAGATGAACTCATATTGTTATATTTTATATTAAATATTCAGCGATTATTATACGAAATTTTGGTGGATCAAGGATATGCAGTCTTGTTCGATGCAAATACTGGAGCAAAATCAAGGAGGAGGGACAGGGGTTTGGCGCAACGCCATCCTTTTTTCAAGAGGAGGGCAAGCGGCAGTAGAGGAAAACGGGCTGGCGTCGCGTTGAACCCAGCCTCCCTGACGCGCCCTCATCCGATGCGAACAATAGTGTAATTTTAGCGCTAATAAATTTTGGATTCTAAAGTAGCCAAACATCCCTATTAGTCATTTCACAGAATGCCCGCGCCATTTTCCAGTTGTTTTTTGAGGACTAGGTTTATCATCAGACCTGCCAACCTGGGCATACTCTGATGAGCACCATTTCTGCGGGAAGGGTTTCCCCTTGGTAGCAACTGAGCTCGTTTTTCTTCACAGCGCAGTCATGAACTACGCTCTTAATGCTCGACTTCCCCATCCCTTTCTACACTTTCGATGCAAATTTTCCATGTTTTAGGGATGGCTTTGCAGAAAATCAGTCGTGCTGGAAACCAGTTGATTTTTTTACAAAAATTTAAAGCGTTTCCCGCAAAATATTTATTTCATTGAAAAAGCCAGAAGGGAACACGGAAGGGCGCCAGCTGTTATAAGCGGTTGTTAAGATTCAGTCAAACTCTTATTCGCTGCAAATGAAGGGGCTTGCCGCGAGCGGCTTTTCCAGCAGTTGTTGAAATACGTAAATGATAACAACTTTCGGAGGACAACCCGATACAAACGATATGATACAGTCTTGTCGCTTGTCGAAAGTAAAAAAAAAGAAAAATCGGCCTGGCCTAGCGTCAGAGTTGTCCTCCCTGACACACCACATTATCAGGCAGCGAGCAAGACTGCTGCTTTGTTCACGAGCTGCGCGTCTTGGGTGGGTAGCCGTACATTCAATTCTAGATCAAACTAGTCTAACTAGTGGAGCGCTTATGAATTCAGGTCTGGACTTGTCCCCGAAACTACTAGGGCGTACATCGCTGTCCAGTTTCGCAACTTTAACGGTTATTCGAATGGAAACCGATAGTAATGCGCGTTTCCTGAACAGCGGTTGCGATTAACTATTGAAATCCTATGAGAGGCGTAATACTAAAAGCGCTCATTATTCCTTACAATCATCATCGCTACTCATCATTGCTCTCTCCTTTCTACTTTGGAGATAGAGCATTGATGAGTAACGCCGCCAATTTGAGGAATACACGCTCAAGGTTTCGTATGAGGTCGTTCTCGGTCGCTCTTGCGGACCTGTGTGGGCTAGGTCAAAGCTGGATTAAAGGCATATGGCACGATAATTTGGTACTCGGTCTGAAATGCTGACAGGGTGCTATATAGTGAGAAAACAGCGGCGAAAAACGAAGTGAAACGGTCAAAAACCTGCAAAGAAAAGCCTCCTTCTTAACGACTTGAAAAATAATTTCGGACGAGTTCCCCTTGGGCATCTTGCCAGTAAACGCCACGGTAGGCACCGGTGCACATATGACCTATACATCCGTGCAGCACCGCAGCCGCTTCATAGCAGTCCCTTCATTCCATAATTAATTTAGCAAATGGAACATACGAGCACCAGGTACGGTCCTCCATTTGTGGGCGGCGGGCGTGATGGGTCGGTATA